ACGAAGTGAAACTGAAGGGTATCCTGTTTCTTCCCACGCAAGTCGCCCAATTACAGTAGCCCATGCTTTTCTCTCGCCAGTTTTAGCACTAGCCAATCCTTCCACAATGGATCCTGTAACTTTTTCAACGAGAATTTCATCTTTCATGCTTAACAGTGATTTCAAATGTAAACCTAGAGCATCAATGGCTTTAGCTAAAGAATTGTCGTTGCTTTCTTTTAAAACAATTGGTAATAGTCCCTCAATCACAGTTTTTGAAACATTGGGCGTTTGATGTATGTGACTTAAAGTTTGGAATAAGATAATGCGATGTTCTGGGTTGGCAACTTTTACAGTCCCTATAAAAAAAATATATAATAAAGTCTTAAAAAAAAACTTATAATAAGCAGTTACAGCATATAATTGCTATTGATAGTACAGACCTCCGCTCAATGCTTGAATAATATCTTTAACAATATCGATTAGAATTTCATCATTGCAACTTTTTTCGACAAGTATCTTTAGCAACGCTATTGCATCTGTTTGTACCACTTTATTAGAGGATCGAATATGTACAAGTAAAGGTTGCAAAAAATTTTTCTTTAAAAAATTTGATAAGTCGAAGGATAAATATCTAGCTAGGGAGGCCAGTACTATTGAGACAAAAATACGAAATTAACAGGTATTAAAATAATAAATTCGCGATCTTAATAGTGAATAACAAACCACTCAATATGATTTCAGGTGCTCTTAGGAGAAGTTTTTCGAAAACCGGAATTAACTTAGTTTGAAAGTCTTCTTCCGTAACTATAAATTTTATAAAATCACGTAGTGCATCCTATAACCAAGGAGGAAGGTCGAGTCAAATTTAATTTGATTAAAATGCGATTATGATATGAATACAAAATACCTTTGATGTTTTCGGGACAGTAGTTTTAGAAGATGCGATGCCTGTTATATAAAACTGTATAATATCATCCTGAAGATATTTATTAGTGAACGTGTCATTTAATAATGTCTTGAATAAAGTTTGTAACATTATGCTCATTGAGATCGCATCCCGTTAAATACCTTTGCACTCTCCACAAAAGCTCTGCCGTTTTCCTTTTTAAGCCGTAAAGAACAATCAACGACTGTCCCAAGTAAGACAGCATCACTGTACATAACATTACATGATTTCACACTGGAAGTAAGATATTTTATATATGAAGGAATATGTGACGCATTCTGTATGAAAATGATTAAATTGAATATTCGGGAAATCATACAGATCAAATGAATAATTACATCTATTTATATTCATCTACCTTACGAATACAGTGTCTAACACCAGTAATTGCACTATTTGTCACGCTTTTTCTTTTTTCATTTTCATAAGTTAGTGAATACAAAAGTACTGCTTGAGCATCTACTAAACTTTTCCAATGTGGTAATGATTCAGCGTTGGTGGTAGCAGATAAAACAAAGTTGATTAATGTATTAACCCATGTGAGAAGAACAAATCGAATGGTGGACGATGTCGTGTACGTGGTGCTATATAAACAAGCACTTAATAAGAATTTCCTTAAAAAGTTTAAACTCTCGATTGATTTCATACCAGTCGGGACTCTTTTGATTTAACTTATCAGCTTCTTTGACGACCATTGGAACAAATGCATTTAAAAAAAGCCCAGAATTCCAGTTATTGAGCTCTTTTAAAATATTCAATATAGCAAGACGTGAAGGCTTATCATTGTATCTGGAATAAGTCAAGAAGATAAGGTGAAGAAGGCTTCCAAGTAAATTTTCAGTAAGATCTATTTTATAATTGCAAGTGATATAGTATATAAAAAATAGCAATTAGAACCAATTACGTGATAAAATTGAAATTTACATTAATGCTACTTACCGCCAGCTTTTATTCGGGGCAATAGCGAGTGATTCAGAAACTCTAGACGATGTATGGTATTTGAGCTTGTGATGCTATATAAAGCTCTGGATTTTAAAAACTTTGCCCACGAAAGGTCTGCTAAACCGATATCGATTATGTCTGGAGAATCCATTATTTTTGTTTTAAAAGCAGACCGCAGCAACAAAATTAATGAATAAAAAAAAAATTGATTTTCGGATCAGAAATTATCGCACTGTTACTTGACTAGTCCAAAAAATCTATATCATGTGATGGAGATCAACTTGTCAATAGACAGAAGTTTAATTGGTGATCTACACGCCAATCAAATAAATTCCAGAAGCCACTCATATGAGCACGAACCAAGCGTCACCCAAAAATCTGTTACGTTTAAACTCAATTAATTTTATAGTTCCGATAATTTAATATGT